AATTGATGCGTTTGAGCCGAGCATTGAAAGACAAACGGCCGCAATACAACGAGAGACACGATAAAGTGATTTTGCAGCATGACAATGCTCGACCCCATGTTGCGAAAGTGGTCAAGACATACTTGGAAACGTTGAAATGGGAAGTCCTACCCCACCCGCCGTATTCTCCAGACGTTGCTCCCTCTGACTATCACTTGTTTCGATCAATGGCACACGGCCTGGCTGACCAGCACTTCCGGTCTTATGAAGAAGTAAAAAATTGGATCGATTCGTGGATAGCCTCAAAAGATGACCAGTTTTTTCGACGCGGGATTCGTACGCTACCCGAAAGATGGGAGAAAGTAGTGGTCAGCGATGGATACTTTGAATCATAAATGTATAACCAGTCTTTTACAATAAAGCCTCGAATTTCGGAAAAAAAAACGGCGGAAGCAAAGTTGTACACCTAATATATAAATTCACATGGCAATTTTATTTAAGCATTTAAGATCCAGTTTTAACCGTTAATAAGCTTTAACTTTTACTTGTCTGTACTGTCTGAATATGTCTGTATTATCTGTACTGTCAATGTCTGTCTGTAGGATCCTCTATAATTAATAATATAATTTTTGTATAACAACTTAACTTTTTTCTTATTTTACTGATTTGAAAATCTTTTTCTAGGATTAAAGTATATACATTAATACGTGTCTATACATTAATACGTGTCTATAAGGTGAATTCAATGCTGAGAATGACAAAAAATTTCGAAATTGAGCTTTTCTTTACTATTTCTTAGTCCAATATAGCGCTCCAAAACTGTCACGTCATGTCAACATTTGTTTCATATAAAAGCTGTGCAATCTGTACTTACGAAATAGTAATCCACAGACTAGTAATTTGAAGAAATAGTATGGAGTTCTTACAATTGAACTTAAATGTCTAATTAAAACGTAATTGTTATACGAAGATTTATGTGTATGTGTGACGTGTGTGAGTAAGATAGTCATATAGTGTCAATGATGCATAAATCGTCCGTGTGTAAATGCTATTTTCAATATGACTAATTGTCTTCAGGATCCTTTTAAAGGAATGCTGAAGTTATCCTGATATTTTACCCAAATGTTATTACTTTTCAGATCCTCCAATCTTTTAATTGTATTTATATCAGATAAAAATTCTTTGCCATAATTAACAAAATGACAGACAATAATTTCATACAAACAACGAAAGAAAATTGAAAAATTTAGTTTTGTGATGAACTTCTGCAATCGATTCGTGACAGCATATGTTACATATAAGAGTTTTTTAGATTTCGTACGTTTAAAACTTAGATCGCACTAGAAATTATATGAAAAATTAATATGCTTGTAGAAATGAGAGAGGCTTTAATATAAGAGGATGAAAAATATAAAAATTCCATTTGTATATTACGAGTGAAATTATGTATATTGTATATTACGGTGTGAAAAGTAAAACAAAGCAGTAAGAGCCATGGCATAAAAATATTAAAACAATAAAACGTAAGCGAATTGATTAATCATAATAAAAACCATAAGGCCATAACGTAAATAGTAGCCAATCCAACATTTCATTATTGCTTACATCTTACTGCTACTTTAAGGTTCTATATGCCATGACTCTAATTGTGTCTAGCAATAGAATCTTACAAAAGATGAAGCTGCACTATATTAACTCCATTATTATTTATACTAAAAATTACCTCAAGCGCCTGGACGATTGCTGCTGCATCTGCTTGAATTGCCGATATTGTCTCGTTCTTGGTCATGTTCGGACGCATGATTCCGCTTTCGTCTATAGTATCTTCATCGACATGGATATTTAAGGTTTGGAGTTGTTGCGCAAACATTCCAGGATGAACTCTAATAATCTGACTGTCATTCAATTGGCTGATAAAATGTCCTTGAGAGAGAAGCTGTCGAGTCTCTTGAATGGACAATGGAATTGGATTTCCGTATTCATCCGTGATCTGAAAATAATAATACATTCCGAATAATTCAAATTAATTCTAATGAATCAATAAAACAAAAAAAAATCTTTTAGAGCTAATACAGATTGTTAGTGTGTAAAAATCAGGGTTGTTCATTTTATTAAAGTTTTTAAAATTAATAATTAACGAAAACAAAAATAATTAAAAGATGTTTAATTGAAAATTGAAATGAGCGAATTCAATTGATGATTGATTTAAACAAATTCAAACTTTTCGATTGACGACTGATTCAAGCAGAGTTAATTAAAAGACATTTAATTGAAAATTGAAATGGACGAATTCAATTGACATCATTCAATTGATGATTGATTGACACCGTATACAGCCATATTAATTTTGGTAACATTGATTTTGTCAGATATAAGTTGACTATTACTGATACATATGACACAGGTTTATTTATGCAAAAGTTTAGTGCATAAAAGTGAATGTAAGTACAATTCAAAAAATGAAATACACGTGAAATAATCTCAACATTTTGCAAAGAAGAGCAGATACCGATAAATGTCTACAAAAATTTTGCACGTTGTATACTTAAAATCGTGTACTATGTGCACTTCCGCCATATTGACGCAACATTTCAGAACTTTATTGCGATACTTTATAAATCTAATGATTTTAGTGAGTTTGAAAAGCGAATGTACCCTAGATAAAACAGGTCTTCATTCCCGAGTTTCATCTCTTCTTTTTTATTTCGTGAACATTAAAAACCACCATCTGGTAAAAAAATACAGATATAGTATCTCTTGACCGTGCATTCGAGAAATGGGAGGGTAGTCCTCATTTAGAAAAGGATGCACATATTTGGCGATGTATCGATCGATTCTTCTTCTTTAAAATTTGGCAGATAGGGCAATTCAATTTAAAAACCATAATGAGATATTTTA